AGCATGCTTCCGTACGGTGCGCGACAAGTGGTATCAGAGCTCAGATTTCAGATCTAGGGTTTTGGATTAGGTGGAGAAAGATTCAGTTGGAAGCTTGGTTCTTGGAGTTCTAGGCTTCGGTGGAGTTAGGGTTTGAAGTTGCCGTTGAAGATCTCGCTTTCCTCGTGTGGTTAGGAGTTCTATTTGGAATCCAATCTAGGGTTCAGTTGGGTAACTTCTAAATTCTATAAAGTTTGAATCTTTCTTTACAATTTGGAGTTTGTGATTATAGCTGAAGAAGTTGATGAAAGCAGCAAGATGACGGGTACAGTTCAAGTGGGTTTTTAGAACACTAAGATTAGTGTAGTGAAATATGCGACAAAATCAATTTTGGTTTGTGGATGAGCGACGTACAGGATGCGTTCAATGCTCAAAATTTGGAGGAGACCATCATGGTCGATGTGAGGCCACCTAAATATGAAGAGGCGGTATAGAAAAAGATGAATAGGAACGCTTGTGGGGTGATCAGGTCCTGTTTGGAACAGGAGCTGAAATATGATGTGATTGGGGTAACGTCTGCGATGAAGATGTGGGAAATTCTCAACAATAAGTATCTTACGAAGAGTGTTGAGAACAGGTTGTATTTGCTGCGTAGGTTATTCAGATTCTAAATGTCCCGAGGCACCTCGCTTGCGGCTCATGTGAATAACTACACTAAGTTGTTGTCGGACTTGACGAACGTGGATGAGAAGATCACGGATGAGTACAAGGCTATTATTCAATTGGGCTCCTTATCGGATGAGGAGTATGATACCTTCGTGCTTACTTTGCTGAACGGAAGATCTTCTATCACATATAGTGAAGTGACTAACGCATTGACGAACTACGATTTGAGGAGGAAGGATAAGGAGACTTCCCGCGCTAGTACTTCAGGAGAGGCCTTGTCGACGAGAGGTAGAAGCTCATATCAGAAAGGTGAAAATAGAGGGAGGTCAAAGTCAAGAGGTCGTCACCAGCTTGGAAAGAACCCATGTGCATTTTGTAAGGAGCAGGGATATTAGAAGAGAGACTGCCCAAAGGTCAAAGAAAAGGAGAATAGCAAGAATAAGGGCCCGAAGGCCAATAAGGTGAATGTTACGAAAGGCGATGATTCCGATGATTCGAGCTTTTCTCTTTTGATTACTCCGGAGGTGAACCATTTGGATGTATCGGATTGGATGCTTGATTCTAGCGCTACTTATCATGTGACTCCTAGGCGAGATTGGTTTTCATCGTTTGAGAGACTCGATGGGGGTGTTGTTGTCATGGGAAATGATCAATCCTGTGACATTTGTGGGATAGGTACTGTGAGGATTCGGATGCACGATGAAGTAGTCTGTGAGTTGAAGGAGGTGAGATTCGTTCCTCAACTAAAAAAGAATCTTATCTCAATTGGAGCTTTGGAGGCGAAGGGATTCAAGATGACTTTCGAAAACGATGTAGTGAAGGTTACTAAGGGATCTTTGGTGGTGATGAAGGGAGTCCGCAGTCAAAATTTATACTATCTGAAGGGGAGCACCGAGATTGGCCAGGTTGCTTCGGCTACTTCAGAGGCGGACATGAGTAGGCTTTGGCATTACAGGTTAGGGCACACAGGACAGGTGAAAAGTCACTGCAGGCATTGTGCAAGCAGGGGCTATTGAAGGGAGCCAAGAGTGGTAAAGTAGAATTCTGTGAGCACTGTGTTCTTGGCAAGAAGACGAAGGTAAAGTTCGGGACGGCCATTCATAGGACGAGGGGCATCTTGGACTACGTGCACACAGATGTTTGGGGTCCCACCAAGACTACATCACTTGGTAGTCGACATTGGTTCATCATGTTTATTGATGACTATTCTAGGCGTTGTTGGGTGTACACCATGAAAAAGAAGAGTGAAGTCCTAGATATATTTGTGGAGTGGAAGAAGAGATTAGAACTATAGACTGGGAGAAAGATCAAGACGTTGCGATCTGACAACGGCGGTGAGTATATTTCAGACCCCTTTCAGCAGCTATGTCGAGATGAGGGCATAGAGAAGCACTTCACAGTTAGTCATACACCGCAGCAGAATGGGATGGAAGAGAGGTTAAATCGGTCTTCGCTGGAGAAGATTCGATGTTTATTAGCGCATAGTGGTTTGGAGAAGATCTTTTGGGCTGAGGTACTTTCATATGCGAGCCACCTCATTAATAGGCTACCTTCATCTGCGATTGAGGGGAAGACCCCTATGGAGATGTGGTCGGGAGAGACAGCACATGACTATGACCAGCTCAAGGTATTTGGTTGCCCTGCATATTATCATGTTAGAATTGATAAGTTGAAACCTCGAGCTAGGAAGGCCATATTTGTAGGATTCAAGTGTGATGTCAAGGGATACAAGCTTTGGGATCCAGTTGATAAGAAGATTGTGCTGAGTAGGAATGTCACATTCGATGAGGCTTCTATCTTGAAGCTTCCCAGCTCTCATCAAGTGGAGAGCGACCCGACAAAGGAGATATCGCAGGTGATAGAGATTAATGCAGCTCCACAGTGTCCAGATGGTGCAGTATCTATTAGAGTGCCGACTGAGGTGACGTCAGGCGAGCACGACGGTGATATGGAGGATACGGGTACTCATATGCAGGATCAGGGACCGACGGCTCAGGTTCAGGATTCTATTGCGGTTCGGAGACAGAGGAGAGACATACGGGTGCCAGCACGGTATGCCGACACAGTTGCATATGCACTTCCGGTGGAAAGTATCGATGAGATGATACCTAGTACTTTCAGAGAGGCCGAGCAGAGTTCGGAGGCTGATTCGTGGCAGGTAGCTATGCAGGAGGAGATAGAGTCTCTTCATAAGAACGATACATGGGAGCTTGTTGAGCTTCCAAAGGGGCGGAAGGCGATTGGGTGCCAGTGGGTGTACACGAAGAAGGAGGGCATTGAGGGCACTCCATTGAGGTTCAAACACTACCACAAAATAGGTATACGGGGATGGTTATTTGGGGACGGTTTAAAACCGTCCCCTTTGCCTCCTAAGGAAACATTTGTGAAACGGTTCCAACCGTCACGAGAGAGTCTAAGACAACGCTTTAAAATAAAGCGTTGCACTAGAGTTAGTCTTGCAAAAAAACCCAGTAATGAGCTAATGGGACGGTTTTATTATAGGCTTTATGTTGGCGCCCAAATTTTAACAAAAGAATATTAAGTTATTTTGTTACC